AAAGTAGTTTAAGATGCAACTGAAGCAGTGTGTGTCACAACTGGTTCTGTTTTCTCTACAGACACAAGACGCGTGCTGCGATGCACAAGGCTGTATTCCTTTTTTTCGCTCCACACCAGACTGCTTTGTCAATCCTCAGTATGATACACAACAAGCCTTGCAGCGACAACAGCTCAATGCTATCTCTTCATTCATTGATGCAGCGCTGATTTATGGAAGCACTCCACACCTTCAGAGCTTCCTGCGTGGCCCTAATGGGAAACTTGCCGTCAACAACGCAGTCAGAGATCCTAAAAAAAGGCCGTACCTTCCGTATATGCCCATGCTGCCCACAAGCTGCCTCCAGAACCTACAGGAACCACACTGGGACAGAGTGGAGTGTTTCATCGCCGGAGACGTTCGGGTCAACGAGGGTCTGCCCCTGACTATTTTGCATACGCTGTTCCTCAGAGAACACAATCGGATCGCAGAGGAGCTGAAACACATTAATAACCACTGGAACGCGGAGACGATATTCCAAGAAACCCGCAAGATTATTGGCGCTGTGCACCAGGTATGTGAGCAGCACACTTATGTTGGGTGAATGAAAAGTGATAAGCTAGAATCAAATGCAATGCCTGCATAGCAAAGACATTTATGTTTCTGCTAGACTATAAAATACAAAAAAGTTGTCAAAAATATTCATTTCTCAGAGCTTTAACACATTTAAAGGAAGGTTTTTGCTTTGAAATTTGCTTTCTTGACAAACTTTGAGCTGAGAACGTGACACCGCTCTTATGTCTGTCTATTAAATGTGAAGCTACAGCCTCATCTTAAAGAGAGGACAGAGGACGAAACAGCAAAAAGACAATGAAATGCCTTTTTACTTATTAACAGGTTTCATCTTGGGTGATTCATCCAGACACGACACTGCAAAAAAACAGAAGTTGAGCTTTTACCATACATGAGTAACTCTCTACAAAATGACAGTTTGTCACATCTATTAGGCAGATTGAAATAAATAAAGAATAATATTAATAATACAAAGTCTTCGCCAGGTTAGCTAAGTTAAGTGCGTGCTAGCTCAAGGTTTCTGCAGCTGTGTTTATATAATGGTCAAATTAATCTGAAGCAACCTTTAGAAAACAAAAGAGAAGTTAAATAGGCTCGCTTCCTTTAACTGCTTTGAAGTGAATAAACTCGGCTGCATAGTGCTGTGGACGGTGGCAATATAGGTGAGGTTAGCCACTGAAAAAACTCAAAGAAGAAGAAACAAAAGAATATTGGAAATTTAAAAAAAAAAAAGGAGTCTTCAGGAACTTATGAGTCAGAGATGTAATAATTATTATTTCGTGTCAGCGGGTATTGGCCATGGTTCATCCTTTCTGGAGGCAAAGACAATAAAAAAAGTGAAAACAACTGATCATCAACACAAGTTAAATGTTCACTACATCAGTACCTACTCTTAAAAAGGTGTTATCATCTCATGTTGTGTGCATTAGCTCCTTTTTAAAAAAAAAAAAAAGTCAAGAACCACCTCAAATCAAGGTAATGACATGTTTTCCCCCAAAATTTAACAGTTTCCATGAACTTCTTCTAAAGTGATTCCTCAAAATAAGAACACAAACACATCAGGGAGACATGGATGGTGTGAGTGGTGTTTATCTTCTTACTGAGCTCTTGGCAAGAACGTGAAGTCAATCAGAACCCAGATGTGTCTGACCTGCTATAAAAGACATGAAAACAACAAATATTCATGTTTGATGAGTTGGAACAAGTCGGTTTCTGTCACTTTTCGTCTGCCGTGTAGAATGACCTAAATGATTCATTTCTTATCAAAGCATTAGCCAATTATCTCTGTGTCGCTCAGCCGCTGAACTGAACGTCTTCACTTTGATTTTAAAAGTTTCAGTCAGCGGTGCTTATAGTGTCTGTTTTATTATTTTTTAATAAAACCTTGACCCACGATTAAAAAGCTGAGTTTCACCTTTGATAGCTGAACAAAGCGTTAACATTTGTATTATCAGAAAGTCATCCGTCTTTATTAGAAGAATCTGAACTCAAATGCAGAAATGACTCTTAGTCAGCCATTACTTATTATGTTTTGTAATTCGGTTCCTGCCGTTGGAAGTCGGCGCTCTTCTGCTTTTTAAAAAGCCAACTCCCATTCATTCAATAAAGGTTTTCACAGAAGAAAACCTTTTGTATTCATGGGAAAGCTAAATCAATAGTGTATAGTTCTCTGTTTTACACTAATTTTCCTCAGAAATGACTTGAAAACTGATGTCAGTTCTCATCTCTGTGGATGATTTTTGCAGTTTTCAGCCCACGTTTTCTCTGCAGTCTGTAAAAACTGTGCTGCAATGAGCTTCAACATGGACTCGTTTTGAACAGCTCGTATTTAGCTCAAAAGGGCTAAAAGATCAAATTTGATAGAGGCGGTGTGAATGCTAATTGAGGTTCAGGCCTGATAATGATGAGAAATTAAATGTGGGTCGTACTCTGGTCATTATGAGGCCACATCTACTAGAATTTTGAGCGATTCGCATTATGAGAACGTGGACATTTCGTATCCTGCAATCTGCACTCCATCGCCGTGGCTGTTAGACACTCGTGGCGGAGATAAGAGACGCAGCTGTACGATGAACATAAAAGCCCATGTGATTCGCAGAGCTTCATTTGAGGAACACAAATGATGCCTGAGGGGGGAAACAAACTAATCCAGCAATTAGAAGCGTGGAGATTTTCGAATTTGCAGATTCCAGGAGTGTGTCATATTTACATGCTATTAAAGAAGGACATGCTGATATGAATGATGTGGCGAGGAAAGAGAACAAGAGGTTCTTTGTGGAGTGAATCGTGACTCAGGGTCATCGCTGTGTTCGCAGTGCAGAGGAACAGAAGCCTCAGATGGAGCTTTTGTTGGAACGAGAAAAGAATTCTTCTGTTTGTTTCTAAGACAATCGCTTGTACATAAATGGGACAAACAAAAATCAATACCTGGATTCATTCTGATTACAAGCTGTACATTGCTGACTGCTGCTGAAGTTGTCTGGAAAGCTCATCCATAAATGAGGGTCAGGGTCAACTCACTTAAGATGACGGCCTTCGCAACAAGCCTGAGTGCAATCGCTCTTTGTCTCTGAAGACTTTCTGCACAAGCTTGTGGATTTATTCCTCACATTTTACCACAATTTAGACCGTATGGATCAAATAGGAAGTCAATTGTTTCAATATATTGTAACCCAGAAATGTTGAGCGGCTCACTCGTCTCCAGGCGTGGGTGAGTCGCGTTACAATTACTTTATGCTCGCGTTATGTTTTGCTATCTTCCGAGCTAATAACTCACCACAACGACAGGACAGTTCAGCAGCTTTTTATTGGCAATCCAGAACCGACATGCGGTGACCGCGCTTCACTCTCACCCTTCACTCCGTCCCTCCTTTCTAAGCGCTGTACTAAAAACATTAGCAGGTAGGAACCAACATTTGGGACATAGAGCAGGGCATGAAGTAAACATAAAATAACAACATATCTGACTAAATACTTAATGAAAGAATATGTAAGGCACCACATAATTTAATACGAAAATAATAAATTCAGCAAAGGCAAATGAATATAATTATACAAAAATCTAATGTTACAATATTTTGAGCTCATTGAACTTATTACATGATCATTAGACGCAGGCAGGATTTTTTCGTCTCGTCTTTGTATTGGAAATTGGATTCATGACTCATGATCTTTATTTTTTCCAGAGCACTTTCTACATCTAAGACAACCGTGTGTCTGCTGACAAAGAACATAAGATATGATCAAGACCTCCAAAGTAGCAACTAAACAGACGTTTAAACCACATTATTTCTCAAATAGGATTTCCAAGGTCAACTAATAGTCTCGAGCAGTCTCGTGCGTGTTAACACGTGTGATGTGTGTGCTAATGGATGTCAAACACGCTGCGTGGATGCCACAGGAGGAGAAAAGACGCTCCGGTCACGGTGAGCGAGCACCGAATGATTTTTTTTTTGTAGCCGCGTGTATAAGAAGTCACATGTCAGCTGAGCAAGACGTGATAAAGACAAATGAAGAAGGAGCTCCTTCTCCATGCCCAAATCATTGCCGATTTAATTGATTCAGAAGTTGCCCGGCCCTGACAGCTGCTGTTTTAAGTCTGATGTGCTGTTAGAATCAACCAGCATGAGAATCTTTGCTGTCGCTGCAAACTCTCAGAGGAATCCTCAACAAATCACCTCCGTGGTGCAGCCCCGCGAGCTACACCAGCTCCTCCATTACTATTCATTATTATCGTTATTGCTTCGAGGCGATCAGGAGTACTTTTTTATTAAGTGTGCATCACGTGACTATTTGCATTTAAAAGTGGTCAGTTGTAGTTGCGAGTGACAAGCCCACAGTCTTCAAAAGAGCAAGCTTAGTTTACATACATTAAAATGCACGAGTTCAAATTAATTTCTTCTTCTCTTTTTTTTTAATGAGCTGCTCTGAGCTATTGTTTTGCAGCACAGCCTCCTCCTCCTCCTCCTCCTATCCACCCACTCCCTGCCCCCATCGCTGCCACGTCCCGCTGCTTGCTGTATGCTTTTACATTCAGAGGTTACGCATTTTACAGTAGAGATGCAAAAAACAACAAAAAAGTAAAAAGTTTCAAACACAAAGTCGATCCCACCAGAGGATACCGTTTCTTATGCTCTGCTCTCCGTCTAGTTTGACTCAAATGAACTTCTCTCTTCGGCTCAGAGACTACGAGCGGCGTATTGTTGAAATGCATCACGGTCGCAAATGAAAATCAGCAACTTGTCAGAAATCGAGTGAATGAGGCCTTTATGTTCACCCTACGTGTTGACAGCACTCGCATTCTTTAGTTGCAGATACATTGACCAGCACTAAAAATATAAGCATGTCCAATAAATGTGCTCGTTTAAAACTTTCCTGCGAACACTGCCCACGCTGAACTACCTGCTCCGACATAAGGAACATTTGAGGCATCTTTTGACTCTTTGTTTAGTTTTCTTTGGCTATAACTTTACTGTTTCGGTTCCTTCCGACTGCTCTTATAGTGTTGTTTTTTAACCACAGCAGGCCTTTTCAGCAAGAAGCCCCCCAAAACCTACTGAAGATACCAGTCCAGCCTCAAAAAGCAGGTGCATCATTTAGCAGTTAAAGTTTGGACACTTTCCTCTGCAGATGGTGGAGAACAAAGCAGGGTAACACTTTATAATAACTATCTGTTATAACTAGTTAATAGATTGTTTGTAAACTGTTAATTAGTGAGCTATTAGCCACTTGTTAAGTGTTTGTTAATAGTTTGTTGATGATTTATAACGATGCCTTATAGATAGTTAATAAACCATTTACAAACTGTTAGTTAATGAGTTATAAATGACTTGTTAAATGTATATTAATGATTTACAGCCATAGCTTATAAACCAGTCCTAGATCATGAACAAGCCATTAGTGAATTACTTACTAATGACTTGTTAAGTATCAGTTAATAGTTTATATATGTTATTGGGATGTTTTTCTAAAGTTGCAACTATTCCTCATTTATTAACTGCT